GAGGCCCTCTGACCCCCCCCCAAAAAAACAGTCCCCGTCACCCTGCTCTGGAGTGCCCGGGCGCTCTTGGCCACCCTGGGCCACCCACCCACCCCCGAAAAGTGCCTGTCACCCTGCTCCAAAGCGTCCGGCCAAGCACAGCCCAGGCGCTCTCAGCCATCCACCCACCCCCTGAAAACAGACTCCCCACCACCACCACCCAGGTCACCACCACCCAGGTCCCAGCCCAACTTACCTTTCTGGCTCCCAGCAGCGGCGCCATTAAGAAGCGGCACGTGAGGGCTGCTGCCAACTGTGGACCAATGTTCCTTCTAAGCCGTGGAGTCTCATAAGGGGAAAAAAATCCTCTGCTTTCAACGTGGCGGGCGGGGGGAGGTGGCCAGACTCGGGAGCCGCAGAAGAGGCCTCCAAAAGCCACGTGCGGCTCACGAGCTGCATTTTGGCCATCCCTGGGTGACTTTGAGCTAGTCACTTTGGCTCAGTCTAACTTGCCTCACAGGGTTGTTGTGAGAAGAAGAGTGTTGTAAGCTGCCTCTTGGTCTCTGTCGGAGAGAAAAGCAGGCTATAAATATCTCAAACAATTAAATAATAATATATCACTTACAGACAACAGTAGAATTATGCAGAGTGGTAACCACGTTAGTCTCTTTGTAGCTAAGTCAAGTTAAAGTCCAGTGGCACCTGAAAGACGAACCAAATTTGCTCCAGAACTTTTCATGAATCAGAGCTCTCTTCAGAAACGAGTCACACGCACTTGCCAAGTTTTGCAGCTTTGGATGCCAGGACCGGTCACACTCTGCAGCGTGCAAGAAATATCCACAGATTGAGTTAAATTATCCAGGAAGCAAGCTGGAAAATGACCCACCTGCTTTGGTGGGGAGGGCGGGGTATAAATCAAATAAATAAATAGCTGTATTTATTGTATACCTCGCTTTTTAATACATTTCTTTGCGCCTCACTTTTTCGCTATGAACAAGTCAGATTGCGGCAGCCTTTGCTACAACTGAAGAGTTTTCAAAGTGAGGAGGACGCTTTGCCAAAGAGATGGCAGGCGTTCAGCAGTTGTTGCATTGGAAGTGGTGGGCAGACAGTCTGAGGCCAGGTGCCTTCACAAGAGTTCTGAACCCCAGGTGTTCAGCCCTAGGCCTTTCTGGTTGGCTCCTGCAGCAGCTGCTGGTGTTCTTTCTATCCCTCCCAGAAGATGACAAGTCTTGGGGCACTAGGCCTTTCTGGTTGGCTTCTGCAGCAGCAGCTGGTGTTCTTTCTATCCCTCCCAGAAGATGACCGGTCTTGGGGGGGGGGGGGGGTTCAATTTGACTTTGACTGGTGGCTCCTTGCTCACTCTGTCTGTTGCTCCTATTTGACAGTCACTGGCAGTCTTTAAGCAGCGGCTGGACAAACACTTGTCAGGGATGCTCTAGGCTGATCCTGCAGTGAGCAGGGGGGTTGGAATAGGTGGCCTGTATGGCCCCTTGCCATACTTGAGCTGCAGTGGCTCAAGTGGTTAAGACGCTGAACTGTGGAAGGTCAGTAGTTCAGCAGTTCGAGACCCCCGAGGGCCGCATGACGGAGTGAGCTCCCGTCTCTAGTTCCAGCCAGTCGAGTCCGACTCTAGGGTTGCGGTGCTCATCTCCGTTTCAAGGCCGAAGAGCCAGCGCTGTTCGAAGACGTTTCCGTGGTCATGTGGCCCAGGTGCACAGAACGCTGTTACCTTCCCACCGAAGTGGTACCTGTTTATCTACTTGCAATTTCTTGCTTTCGAACTGATAGGTTGGCAGGAGCTGGAACTAGAGACGGGAGCTCACTCCATCTTGCGGCACACGGGTCTCGAACTGCTGAACTACTGACCTTCCACAGCCTGCAGTTCAGCGTCTTAACCCCGCCACGAATTTTGTTAGTCTTTAAGGTGTTACTAGGTTCTTGCTCTTTTCTAAATATGCACCCTGGTTTTGTATCCGTGGGCTTTCTACATTGTGATTGGTTTATGTAATTGCATATTCTTTCATTTTGTATGTATGAAATAGCAGATAATTGGACATTAGAGTATTTATGAATGTTTAATAATATATAAAAATACAAAATTCTTTTGATACAAATACTTAAAACGGTATTTAAATATTCATTGTTAAAAATCATACAACATTTAGCTTTGGCTATTAGATTAGCTTTTCTAAATCCAAGCATCATAAACCTTGCTTGTGACAAGAAAAAGAGATGTCTACAAGAAGAAGAGTTGGTTTTTATACCTCCCTTTTCTCTACCCTAAGGAGTCTCAAAAGAGCTTTACAATCGCTTTCCCTTTCTCTTCCCACAACAGATACCTTGTGAGGGAGGTGGCCCTGAGAGAGTTCTGAGAGAACTGTGACTGGCCCAAAGGCTTCATATGGAGGAGTGGGGAATCAAACCTGTTTCTCCAGATTAGAATCCACCACTCTTAACCACAACAGCACGCTGGCTCTACAACTGCTGTAAAAAAATCATAGAATAGAGATGTCATTTTATATTGCTGAACAAAATGTTTTGGTGAGGTAGCACAGCCTGGCAGTCATTTTCCAGTTGCAATTTCGGCTGTAAACCTTCGGGAAAGCACTGGTGAAAATTCAGCTTGTTTTTGCTGAACGTCGCTCCCTTCCCGTGGTACATAAGGTTGTTCTCTGCAAGAAGGGGATAACGTTGGAAAGGAAACGTGTTTGAGTTGACTGCTGTCCACATGACAGCCGTAGCATTAAATCTCTCAGCTATTGTTGTTGTTTTATAGTTTTTAAAGGGGAAATATATGCAAGAAAATATGTTTGCTTTTTTATTTTTAATAAAGAGAGGATGTCATGCCTGGCTATATTAGGAACTAAAATTACAGTCTGCTGCCCTTCCTTTCTGAAATGGTCCACCACCCGCAGCAGTAGTCTGAACTGTGATAAATAATAAACCCTGCCTCTTTGCCAAGAGATGAGTCAGGCCTCCAGAAATTTTTAAGATTGGCTCTTGTGTTTATGGCCGTTTATAGATTATTTTCAAGGTTGGGCTGTCTTATTTTTATTTTCAGTTTTGTCTTCCCTATTTGCTCTGCGCTTTGCTTTGTATTATTTTTTTTAAAAAAAAAAATACTCAACTGCAAGTAAGATTCTGGGCCCCATCCAGCAAGAACAGCTGCTGAATGAATTCCATTCATTTTGATCAGTCTTGTGTTTCTTGCGCAAGAGACTTCCCAGTGAAGCCAGCCGCTCTTCTCATCTCCTTCTTCTGAACACATCTGGCTATTGCTTTATGTTTTCAGCATCAGCCTAGGAGGTTTAGATGCCCAAGATAATCTAAAAACTGAGTGCTTCACCCCTCTGTAGGAAAAAACAAATCCAGAATGTCTTACTTCTTAAAAATCTCAAGGTTTTCCCTCATGTATGTTACAATAATTTGGAAAACAAACCTATTACGTTAGTTGTGGTTCCATTTTCCTGCAGATTTGGTCCAATCAGTACTGGTGGTTCATGCTTAGATGACGTCTGTATTAGGCTACTGCAGTGCTGTTTATCTAGGGCTCCCCCTTGAAAACTGTTCAGATACAACAGCAGGCACAGAATTCTGAGGCTCACCTTTTCACTAAGGTGAGCCAAACAGTACTTAATACAACAATTGGCACTGGCTTTCAGTTACTTGCTGGACCCAGTACAGGGTATGGCTCATTATCTTTAAGACCCCCACACAAATAAGGTGTGCTTAGTTTGGGGGACGCTTTTTCTCAGGGCTCTTTTTGTAGAAAAAGCCCAGCAGGAACTCATTAGCATAATAGGCCACACCCAACAGCAGGAACTCATTAGCCTATTGGGCCACACCCCTGACCGCACAGCTTATTAGCACATTAGGCCGCACCCCCACGTTACCAGAAGTGTGGTCATCCAGCCACACCCACCTTTTGCTTCTTATTCTCTTTACCTTGTTTGTTGTCAAAACCCAGGGCCTTTTTGGTAGCAGGAACTCCTTTGCATGTTAGGCCACACACCCCTAATGTAGCCAATCCTAATGAGTTCCTGCTGTTGGGCGTGGCCTATTATGCTAATGAGGTCCTGCTGGGCGTGGCCAACTTGGGAGCCAGCCGGAACTCCGTTCCTGTGCGTTCCTGCCCAAAAATAGCCCTGCTTTTTCTTACATGTATTCCCTTGGTGGGGCTGGCAATTTGAAAGGAGGCAGTCCGCCAAGCAGATAATTTTTGGGGATGGCCTGAGTGTTGTATTGAACTGTAGCCCAGCAGATGTCAGGAGCCAGAAAGGCCCAGGAGGGTCCTACCTGGCTGTCACTCTGGCCTGGCCCCTTCATTTGACTAACTTTGCTCCAGCGCAGGCAGAGCTCTCAAGTTGTCCACATTCACCTACCTGTCGGGCCTTCTGCTTCCCACTCACCTCCAGACTGCCAGAGTTGGCCTTTGAGAGGGGTGGGACAGTGCTAAGTTTGGACATAGGGGACTCCAAAAGGTTTCAAAATAAGGCTTGAAGAAAAACTGTCACTCAAATAAGCTTCATGTTGCTTCTTCTGCAGGACCGAGGAAACCACTTGCAGCTGGATTTTGGGGAGGGAAGGATGGCCTGAACAAGTTGGCAACAGTGTTCCCTCTAAGCTGAGCTAGTGTGAGCTAGCTCACAGTTTTTTAGCCTCCGACTCACACATTTTTGTCTTGGCTCAGGAAGGATGGCTCCAGAGCAAACTAATTTACACAGTAGCCAAATCTCTCCTTCACAACTTGAATGCCAGTAGCTCACAAAGCAGAATTTTTGCTCACAAGACTCCACAGCTTAGAGGGAGCCTTGGTTGGCAGTCCTCATCTTTTCCAAGCATACCGAGGGCAGTTTCTCTTTGCATACAGCTGTTGGTGATGCACGCAGCCTTTCATTCCTCACCTGTGCTTCGAAACAAAAGCCCTCCAGTGCTGTCTTTTGGCTCTTCCGCCAAAGCCCCTGAAGACCTAATCTCTGGATTCTTGTTTTCCTTCTTTGGGATGTGTGCGCTTTTAGGTATTCGCATGTTAGATGGCGACGTCACGGACATTGTTGAAGCGAGAGCGATTGGTGTCCGCCCAGAGTACATTCACATCTACAGCGCTAGCTGGGGGCCAGATGATGATGGCCGGACGGTGGACGGGCCCGGCCCTTTGGCCAAGCAGGCGTTTGAGCAGGGAATTAAGAAGGTACGGGAAACCCAACAAGGCTTAAACACCTTCTTAGCTTGCATAAGAAGTTTAGCATATGAGACTTTGGGCGCAGCTACACAGGCAGGAGCAAGGTTCGACCTTCTCCTGGGGCCATGCGGCTGGTGGGGTTTTGTTTCTACCCAGCTGGCAGTGGTATGAGCCCCAGAGGCGATACATGAGATAAATATGCAGGTCCTGCGGGACACCTGCTTCAGGAGAGGGTGACTCAGAATGGGGAAATGGGGAGGGAAAGTGGGTGCTCACCCTTTTCTTTGTCCACTGCGTTTCCCCTCCAGACTGCCTCTCTAGCGGCTTTTTCCCATCCTTTCTCCTCGAGGAACAGGTCTGTTTCCCCTTCACCTTGAGGGTAGACAATGGATACCAGCAAATTTATGTATTTATTTATTTATTTATTTATGTTTGGATTTATATCCTGCCCTACCCCGAAGGCTCAGGGCGGCTGACAAGGGCACCATGTGCCAAGGTTAAAACAATAAAACACATAATATAAAACAATAAATTACAGTAACAAATTTACCAAATTTACAGTACAGATTTAGCCAAGATGGGTAGATCTTAACCTCCATGGTAACTTCCTGAGATCTTGTCATCCAATCCAAATGGCGTATCAATAATAATA